GCCGATGAATGAAATAAGTCCAACAACCAAATCCATGAGCTACACCCGACCCAATTGTATTCCCTTATAGATGGCTTGAATCTTGGCCCGTTTACCCCTTTAATGGCCCAACTTAAAGCCTAACCCTATATTTGGCTATAACCCTAGCCACTTTCTAATGATGATTGTGTGATTTTGAGAGAAGAAAAAGAGAATCCCGGCTGCCCCTCTTTGTGTGAGAAAAAAGATGTCCAGAATACTTGTATAACGTGTGCAATTGGTGGTTTGTTCATAGTATACCTTTATGGTGTCTTCTCCTAACCTTTGTGGCCACAAATCATCATTATTTCTTGTCCTACGTGGGTAAGATTGTATAGCAATCGAGGTGAATCAATTGGTTGTGGTTTGGAGCCGATTGGACTGGTTGTTGGTTGAGAAAGGTGCGTTGGACTGAGCCCGAAAATCACCGATTTGAAAATCTTTCAAGAGAGTTTCCGCAACAATTTAGGAAGAGGTTTGTGATGGACATGTCTATGATTAAAAATGAGTTGAAGTCGATATCCAAGATACGTGAATTTGATGAAGCTTCTCCACACGTCGTCGTCAGATTTGAGTAATTTCCTTGTTGGCATAGCAGGTAAGTTCTCTCTCTTTTCCCAAGGGTCAGTTTTCATTGATATCAGCCGAAGCTATTAATTTCCTTCAATCTCATGAAAATATTCTTTCCTTTAATTTCTCTCCATCTCCATAATGTGTGCAAACAATATGCTGTAACCTTCTGCTAATAAGCTGTATTATGCATGAATAAAAGAAAAACGAATGAACACGAGATAGAAACATGAACGCTTCTCTGAATCTTTGTGAACTGATGATTTACATACACATGATATGTTTCTTCAAAAAAATAAAAAAAAATAAAAATAAAAATTCCCATTCTCTTTTTGACATCTCATATATATGTAAACTATTATTTAACTCCATTATGTACAAGTAGCATTATTCGATATATACAGCCTTTTAGACCGTAATCTACTGTCGCCAATAAATTTCATTGCTTCATCTCTCTTATGTGCATTTCTGCAATTCTTTAATGGGGTCACAACTGCTATGATTATTAGCCTGCCGGCCTCGGGGTGCATTGGACTTGCAGAGAATTTGAGCAGCCGCTTAGGGTTGTTGTGAGAAGAAGAGAAGCTGAAGAAGAAGAGAAGCTGGAGGAGGAGAAGCTGAAGAAGCTGGAAAAGGAAGGCAGCGCCTAGGCGCTGCCCAGTTTCTGCCGGAGCAGAAACTGGGCGCCTAGGCGCCCCGAATGCAGAAGGGAAGCAGTATATTGGCGCCTAGGCGCCACTTCCATGGCGCCTAGGCGCCCCGGCATGTATATATATATGCATTTTTTCCCTCTTTCATAATACAACTCACACAACCCAAGACCTAGAGAGAAAAGAGAGAAAACTTTGGAGAGAATTTTTACAAGATAGAAGGTTGTTCATCTTGGGTATAAATTCAAAGGTATTTTCTTTCTTGGGGATTAACTTGAGGCTTGTTCAAGTAATCCTAACACATTGATTATCATATATTCCATTGGATTCATTTCTTCCTCATTTTCTTGTTCTTCATGTATTTTGGATTTTTCACTTTGCCAACTTAGTTTGTTTCTTGGGCATTCATTGGGAATTGTTTTCCCAACAGTTTCTAACTCACTGATCGTTTTCTACTCGAAGCATAATAAACTGGAGGTAGTAAGAAGGTTGTTTCGGTGCATGCCACAAAGGGATACCGTGTCATGGAATTCAATAATTTCAGCACATTCTAAGGAGTCTGTTGCCCTAGAATATTTCCAACAGATGTTGAAATGTCGCACTTTGCCTAACAGTATTACATTGGTCTCGTTGTTATTAGCTTATGCTCATTTGGGCATGGTAAGGGATGGCGAGAGACTGTCTTCAATGATGAGGGAGAGGTATGGAATTAGTCCTATCATGGAACACTATGCTTGTATGGTTAATCTTTATGGAAGGACAGGATTGCTTGATGAAGCTTTTGACATTATAGTGAACAAAATGGAGTTCGAAGCTGGTCCAACTGTTTGGGGAGCGTTGCTCTATGGTTGCTACCTTCACAATAATGTGGATATTGGAGAGACTGCTGCCACAAGACTCTTTGAGTTGGAACCGGATAACAAGCACAACTTTGAGCGTTTAATCAGGATTTATCGTAATGCAGGCCGTTCCAAGGATGTAGAAAGAATAAGATTGATGATGTTTGAAAGAGGGCTTGACTTGTAGATGCAAAAATGTTATAGCAATGGCTAATGGTTTGTTTTGCGTTGCTATGGAGATGAAGGTACACGTGTTAGTACTGGCAGAACCGATCCATGTATGATGTATCTCTTTGCAAATGTAAATTAATAAACTGTGAGCATACCATTTTAAAATTAAGGTCGCTTTTTGTTTTCACACAAATGAAGAAAACTTATTTTTCATAAGATATTTATTTTATTTTCAACTTATTTAATGGAAACGTACATTATTTTGAAATTTACTTATAAGTTAAAATCCTAAGCACGAGCATGCTCTAGTAGCATGTTTAGTCTTGCTTTTAGCTTACGTTTGGAAGAATTTATCAACGATTTAATTTATAAATAAACAAAGAAATGGCGGATACATGAATATTTGTCGGTCTATTGAAGTATAGTTAAAAATAAAGCTTGATTATTTATAGATAATTTATACATTTAGATGTTGACCATTTCGACTATTTCAGATAGATACATACTGTCCTAAAATGCTAAAAGGTCGAAAAGATTCACTTTCAAGTGGGGGTTACATTGAAACTTCATTACATTTTATGTTAACGATGACATCAGTGGAGAACAGTTGGTGTCGGTACAAAATCTAATATAGATAATTTATGCATTTAGACGTCGGCCTTTTTGACTTATACATAGTGTCCTAAAATGCAAAAAGGTCGAAAAGAGTCACTTTCCAAGTGGGGTATATTGACTATACACATTGAAAACTTCATTATGTTTCATATTAACAATAACACTGATGGAGAAGAGTCTGTGTCGGTAACAAAATGTTAAAAGAATTATGGTATAGAAAACAATACTGTACCTATACCCATCCAGCCATATGTATCCAATCCTCGTTAGTTTATGCTTCGACTGTCCAACAAAGCCCACGCCAAGTGGCCACGACAGTTTTGTCCGTCAGCATAGAGATGGCTCAATTATCTAAGACATTTCTGACCAAGCTCACCAAATTTAAAGGATTAAAGCCTAGAGAGTACGCGGCCCTCAAAGACTGCATTGAAGAAGTGAGTGATGGGGTGGACCGGTTAAGCCAATCAGTCCAAGAGCTCAAGACCATGGGCCGGGCTCGTGGTAAAGACTTCATATGGCACATGAGCAATGTTGAGACATGGGTTAGTGCTGCACTAACTGATGACAACACATGCATGGATGGATTTTCGGGCCGGGCCTTGAATGGTAGGATTAAGTCTTCTGTGAGAGCACATATGATTAATTTGGCTCAGGTCGCCTGCAATGCATTGGCACTTTGCAATCATTTTTCTGCATAGTGTTAAATGATAAATATAATATGGAGCAACTTTGGTTAAGCTTAAAACCTTTACTTCTAAGTAACTTTTTGTTGTTAGTTTGATAAAAGTTGCTGAGATGTATTGTTGAAAAATTTTGGAACCAATAAAATATGTGGTTAAAAATGATTGTTGACATTGACTCAGATTAAAATCTGAATTTTTTATCAATACCAAACGAGAGTAAAGTATTTATTTCAAAGTAAAGTTTGATGTTACCATTATAAAAAAGGTAAAACCATGTTGTGTACATGTACAATTGCTTCAATTCTTCAGTTACATTATGCTTTATAGCTTGTATATTCTCTTCCATTTAGAGCCCAGTAAATTAGAAATAAAAATTTGATCACTGTACACAATTTTCATAAATAGAAAGAGACAGAGACCTTTACTCACTCTTATACTATTAATGAACCACCTTACATAAAAATTTAAACTCAAGACGATCTTAATTAATATTCAAATCGCGAGATTATTCCTAACTTGACACCAAGTGTGCAAGTAGGTGAAGATTAATAGTCTATCTCGAGATCTTCACTAAAAGAAACAAGATAGTAAATATAAAATTATCGAATTAACAATTAAAATTTTTGTTCCTTTTTCAATAGAGGAAACTTAGATGACAGAGATGCCAAAAACAAGGCTACCTTATACATCATTAATTAAAATATTTAAACTTGAAAGTACCACTACAATTAAAAATGAGCTCGCAAAATTGTAAATTTGGCAAACTACCACCATTACAATCTGCCTAGGCACATACGATCGATTTAAAAGCATGTGACGAATACCCGCATGTTAGCTATACGAGGCGTCAACAAGGGCATAAAATCTTAACTGCAACAAAAATCCTACGTATGTCTCAACAACAGCTCCAACACCCCAATGAAGCACCCTAAACATCAATGAATGATGGCATAACAGAACAGAGTAGCAATTCAGTCCCTCCTCAAAGCATCAGTTTACATCACAATACATCCCGGATCTCTTGCATAGTCATGAGCAGGGTACTGAGAAGGAAAAACCTGTTACATTAGTGAAAAGCAAAAAAGAAAGAAAGAAAAAAAAAAAAAAGAAAAAAAGAAAGAAATAAAAAAGTATTCCCTTGCAAAAGAGGATTAGCAAAACTCAATTAACAAGTTGACCACATGTTTGCATTAAGAGAGAAAACAAGTATGAAAAGTTCTGATGTCAAATTTGACGTGGGAGTTTCATCGAACAATAAAAAAATGTTTTGTTCAGTTTGACAGTATCATCCAAAATACAAATTTTATAGAGATTTTTTATTTTATTTTTTTTGGCACCATACGAGAGAGAGAGAGAGAGAGAGAGAGAACCCGTACCTGGTCATCACCGAAATGGCTGGTGACAACTCTTAATCTCAAGGAGTCGTTTCCCATGCTCAGTTGCTCTTCTTGTATTTCCTTTGCTGAAGTAACAACGGAAGGGCTACAGTCACGCAATTCTATTAAATCCAGAGTTGGAATTTCTCCAATACCAAAAGGGATCTTCTCCAGATTTGAGCACCAACAAATGACTAATTGCCGAAGTTTCGGGAAGTGGATATCTTCAGCAGTCCAATGCTTCAGATCAAGTCCCTGAAGTAGTAGATATTTAAGTTGATAAAATTCCCCTTCAATTGGTTCCCACTCTGGGCCTTCGAAGGCTTTATATTTCAATTTCAGCACATGAAGATTTGACAATGAACCAACAATTGTCATATTTTCCCAAGGAAGACAGCAGCCCTCTAAAGTTAACTTTCTCAGTGATGTCGGAAAAGTAATGTTCTGCAGGAAAGAGGGGGATGGCTTTGAAAACTTGATTTTTAATAATTCAAGCTTATGTAGACGGGCAAGATTTTGGAGACGGTAATATCCCCAATCCAGTGGTGCCTCCGGTGGACCAGAATAACGGACTCCTAATTTCTTCAGATTTGGAATTCTCTTTAGCACCGCCTCTGTACATCTGAAGTTTTCTAAGACCGAAAGTGTTTGTAGGTTTTCTAGAACAATAACAGAAATTTCTCCCTTAACTCTTGCCATGGGAGGACAAGGAAGAGTGATAGAATCCCCAAACTGGACATGCCTTAATTGTCGCATCGTCCATATTTGTTGTGGTAGTTGAAATGACTTATAAGAATGAAGGATGATGGTTTGTAGATTCTGAAGTTTGTCTATTGATGCAAGATACCATCCCTCAGTACATCTGGCATCAATGCACCGCAAGTTCACTAGTTCCATTATTTCTTTTGGCAAATCGAACATTTTATAGTGGATATACAATACTTTGAGTAGCCGAAAATAAACAAATTTTGTGACAAGATGCCGATCTAATTGACCGTGGTAATGGAGTTGATGGTCTTTTAACACCAGGAAGAAAGTTTTTGTCTGGATGGATACTTACCCGGTGTCCAATTCCAATGCTTTTTCCTTGATGAATAATTGTACGGCGTAGACGTCTAACGTCTAATGGAGTTCCATGGCTGCTGACATGAAAAAGTTTCCTCTTCTAGCTTCATTTGTGCATAAGTTCCTTAAAAGATCATGAAGCTTGCATGTTTTTATTTTACCTCTGGAGCTCTCCTTAGAAACCATAACAAGACTTCTTTGCACAAGATGCAATAAGTATTCTTCTGCCGCATCTTCAATAGTTTTAGATCCCATGGACTTCACAAATCCCTCGGCAATCCATAACTTGAAAAGTAAGGAGACAGGGATGTCAAAATCTTCTGGGAAAATTCCCATGTAGAGATAACAACCTTTCAAATGACGAGGCAAATTGTTATAACTTAAGTACAATACTCCTGAGCACTGCTCATCATTTGAAGTTATTGTGGAACTTATGCTTTCAGCAATCTTTTCCCATTCATGATGTGTTCTGTTGGCCTTTGAAAGGAACCCTGCAATCACAACGATTGAGAGTGGAATGCCTCGACAATTTCTGCAAATATTCTTCGCAACAGTTTCTAATTCAGGAGGGAAACTATTTTCTCCAAACACTTTCTCACAAAATAAACTGCAACTTTCATCCTCGTTTAGAAAATGCATGTGATGAGGACAAGACTTGGGATAATAAAGTCCAACTTGTTCAAGCCTAGTAGTCAGCATGATTCGGCTTCCATTCTTGTCATTCGGAAATGGTCGTTGTAATTCATCCAAAATCTTGTCATCCCACACATCATCCATCACAATTAGATATCTTTTTCCCTTCAGACTCTTGTATAGAAGTTCTTTTAATCCCTCAGTATTCTCTTCATGCATCGTGTGAGTTTCTTTTTCATGCATCTTATCAGTGTTTTTTGGTATGGAATCTAAAAGGCTTAGTATGATTTCTTGCACACTATATTCTTGAGACACTGTCACCCATGCACGAATATGAAAATGATATTGGATAAGTGCATCATCATAAACTTTTTTCGCGAGAGTAGTCTTACCCATTCCGCCCATTCCAACAACGGAGACAGTTTCAAGGTGTGACGATCTACTAACCAGCTGAGTCTTAATCTCCATCAGGTCATTATCAAGGCCAACAATAAGTCTGTTTCCACCGAGAGCAGTTTTTGATGGCATCCAAGTCCTTGGCTGTTGATCTTCTAAGACAACGTTGATCACAATCTTCACCACCTGTTTCAATAATGAACCAATTTCTTCGTTTACTTTCTCCAAGTTAGAGCAGAACATTATGAGGATCTTGTCCCTGTTACTTGCTGATTCAGGAAGAAGTCGATCCACTATATAGGATTCAACTATATCTTCTGCTAGATGTGCTGCATCCCTGATGTGATTCTCCAAACTTTCTATTGTTTCGCTGCTCTGTTGGGAACACTTTTCAAGAAAATCTTGGAGGGAAATGACCTTTTTGAGAAGAGAAGCAATTTGTTTTTTCACAGGACGATTCAGAAATGTATATTTCTGTTGAATGTTTTGCTCTAGAACGTGCATAAGAGAAAGAAGAGCAGCAAAAGCCATATCTGAGGATTTTTTTCTCAACTGTAACACCGAGAAAAAGTAGCAGCACAATGTAAGCAAATAGCAATTTGCTATTCCCAATTGAATTGCTTAAGTAAAGGCAGGCAATGTGGATTTGACAAGAAATAACAATATAAAAAACTACCGTAAAACTATTTGTTAAGAACTATTAAGAATTCCCACCATATTAAATGAAAATATTATATCGCTCTAATTTCGAAGTTGAATCTAATAATATTAGCTGTAATTTGTTTGTCATTTTCTAAGATGTCAACCTGCCATGTTACTTTATCGTCTGTATATATTACGAAGAATCCTAGATAATGAAAGTAACATGATTACACATTTATCCATACTTATAAATTTAATAAATTATTGTTAATTAAGCGAATCTTCACTTAATTTAGAGCGTAAAACCCGGACTTCGATGCAATTGGAGCACAAAATGACGATTTTGAGATTAATTGAAATTGATTCAGAGCAATTAAAGGCTAATCGTAGGGACTAAATTGCTCCCTTTCAAAACATACGGAGGGCCAATTTCGGGTGATTATGAATGTCTGGAGACCAATAAAGATTGATTCAGAGCAATAGAAGGCTAACTGTATGGACTAAGTTGCTCCCTTTCAAAAGATACGCAGGGCCAATTTCAGGTGATTATGAATGTTTGGAGACCAATAAAGAACTTTTGGAAGTTGTGGCATCAAAATTATAGATTTAAAAATGTTGAAATAGATACTAAAATGCATAAATATAAGCAAATAGCAACTTGCTCTTCCCAATTGAATTTCTTATTACAGGCCGGAAATGTGGACTTGACTACAAAAAAAAACTATTTGTTTATGAAATACAGACTTCCCACCAAATTTTATAAAAAATATTGAATTACTCGACATCGAAGGTGAATGCTATCTTGTTTTGTTTCCTATCTTAATCATATTACCTGAATACCTGTGGTTTATTTGTCATATTCTAAGATGTCTATGTGCCATGATTATTACTTAATTGTCTAGATATGGATCTATTACACCGTCGGAATCCTAAATAATAAAAGTATCATAATGAAACAATTAATTCATTAGTTAGAAACTCCAGTTCATAACAAATAATTAGTCAGGTAAATCCCTTAATATTCTGTACAGTGATATAAATACTTCATCGCAACAATACTATTATATTGTTGTTTTAACCATAAAGATACCATTGCAATGTGTTCACGAAATTGTTTCTTTCGATTTTAAACTACCGCAAGTGTACGGTTCGTTAACAAGTAATAAAGTGGATTCAATGAGTCCAAATATCGTCCCACAGAGATTGATTAGTTCAAATTTTATCTAACGTAGCCTTAACCGAAACTAGATTGCCAAAGTGGATATGAACTTAAGTAAAACCCTAATTTTAAAAAGAAACCCTAATTGCGCAAATTTAATGAGTGAATTGAAATTAAGACTCAAAACAATATTTTAACACTCTAGAATAAAATTAAATGTTGAGAACGCACGTTGTTATAATCAATAGAAATTAAACACACTAGAATCACGATTTTCCATGCAATTATCACTTTAAACTAGGGATGTAAGCGGTCCGATTTTACCGATTTTTGTCAAATTTTCAAACCAAATCGTTTAAAACGGTTTGAAAAAAACTCAAACCTAAACTAAACCATTTTGAATGGTTTGAAAAAAACTTAAATCTAAACCTAACGGTTTGGTCCGGTTTTAAACCGTCGGTTTCGCCATATATTTTTTTGCCCGTCTACTTTTATGTCATTAATTCATAGAATTTAATATATATTTATATCTCACTAGTAATAAATCTAAAATAAACTAAGCCCCTGTTTGAACCAAATTTTTGGGACAAAAAACTGAAAATTTGGATCGTTATTCCACAAGTCCAACCGCCTTTGTTGACCTGCTATTTCATTTGTCGGACCCAACCTCCTCTCCAATAGTCAATTTTCTCATTATAATGATATGAAAAATATGGCTCAAACAGAGGCTAAATATATATACTATAAATTTAAATATTAACTAAATCAAAGTGAAATCACAATAAACTAAAACATAGTTTTTCTTTTTTTTCATTTTTGTTTACCTTTTTTAGGTTAATGATGATACAATAACGTTACAATATAAGTCTACTAAACTAGATATAAGTTCTAAAAAATATAATGACGTCTAACAAGATCTCGTGATCATCATATCTGAAAAAAAAAAGATATTGATTAAATAGAGAGAATAACCAACTACAATAATAAAGCAATTGTTTATAATATCTAAACATAACAATTACACAAGTTTACGTTTGTATGATGTTACGAAACATATTTAATTTCAGATTCTTACCTTAGTTTGCTCCAAAAAATTATTGATCTGAAACTTTATTTGTAGCAAATATTATCACCGAAGGTCTAGGATCCCTTTGTCTCCGATTTGGTATAATGGATTTCAATTTGACTTTGAAGAGATGTGAAAATCTGAAAAGAGGTATGTGGTGCCGGTGGCTCAAAACTGTGTTGAGTATCGACTGGAGTTCATCTAAATTTTGAAGAGGAAAAATGTTTTTAATAGATTATGTTAGTCTTAAAATTATTAAATATATATTAGGATTATTGGATAATAATAATAATAATAATAATATATCTGTATTAGAAAATTAGGAATTGACAAAAATACCCACAAATGACAAAACTATTGAATTTTACATATTTGGATGAATTTTTAAAAAATTTCATTTTTTTATTAGTATATATTTTTTTGCCAGTTCGGTTTGGTTTTAAACCGCAATTAAAATTCTCAAACTTAAACCAAACCATTTTGACCGTTTTAGTTTGGGTAAAAACCATTTCGTTGACTGGGTCCACGTGGCACCAAACCGACGATTTCTAAAATGCGGTTTCGATTCGATTTTTCGATTTTTGCTTATAGCCCTACTTTAAACCCTAGTTTCATAATATGACAACACACTTCAATTGTGACGAATCAATGTTCCTAAGTCTATCCAATACTCTCTCTCGAGATGTATCAAACCTATTTCTACATACCACCGGCCTATATTTCTATGACAAGTGTATATGTAAAAATGCATGCGATTTTATGAACACTTAAAGATTCACATAGGGTATAGTGGTATATTTCTATCCCCTATCGGACCCTACGATGATTTATATTATTCAAATCTATTCCAATTCACACAATTACGAGCCCTTAATTGCGGAAACATTAATTTCATATAAATCATTCAAAACAATAAAAATGTGTCTTAATGTCAAATTGCAAAACTAGGATATTAAAATTTAAATTACATGGTTCATCGATCTCCTAGCACATGAAAATCTAGCCTAGTATGATTAAAATAACAAAATACATCAGGTTTTGAGTAATAAGCATCACCGGATTATAGAAGTTTGAAGAAATCTTGAAATTCTAATAGCCAATCTTTGTTCTTGGGCTCCAAATCCTCTTCAAGAAGTGTATTTCTGCCTCCCAATGCGTTCCTCTCGTTTCTGGACCTTTTTTGATATTTATATCGCGTGAATATTAGGTTACCAAATGAGTTTTAATCGTATAAGGAAAGAAAATTTTCGCATCGGAAAGACTACTATGCAACCGCATGGTTATTCCATGTTTCATCAAAAATTCTAAGCATTCATTCGTGCGGCCGCACGAGAGTTCTACCATGCGGCCGCATGGTAGACTCCAACTTCTATTCTCTTCAATTTAGTCCTTTTATTTGAATCTTTCACTTCTAGGCCTCTTTTCTTCACTCTTTCCATTCTATCATCCCAAGCCATCATCAATTAACATTTGGTTCAATCAATTCCTTGATTTGTTCATCGGGTCAACTTTTGGGTAATTGCACCTTGGTCCTTGAACTTTCACTTTGTGTCATTTTAGTCATTTTTCTCGTCTTTTCTCATGAATTTCACCATGTTCATCGGTGTTCCCTACAATTCACAAATGTAACTAAATTAAATCACAATTCAATCATTTTGCTCGTAATTAAGTCATGTTTGTGACCTAATAAGTGTGCAAAAATACACTTATCACAATGCCTGATAATCTTCATAACTTTAAAAATTTTAATTACACTCATTACAAATTGAAAGTAAAGAGGTATGCACATAGCAATCTCTTTAATAGAGATTTTGCCTGTGCACTTGTTCTAACAAATAATGAAGTACTACATTGACTTTAATAGGTGTACGTTGTGCTCTTGAGGCTACTTTGTGCATAAGTTAGCTTAAGGCACGATTTTTCCAACAATGCACATTTTTGTCCAGTTGGACATAAGAACAATGCATTAATGGATTTTCTAGTTTGCATCACCGTTTCCTTTAGACATATCAATTTTTTGCTCGATTCAATGATCGAGGTGGGCAGAGTGACCTTACTGGAATGAAAAGAAATTTAAGTGGCTAATTGGGAAGAAGTGAGCTTGGGAAATCCAAATAACTTTTCAAAAAATTTGGTGGAAAGACAATGGAATCATGCAATGCTCATTTACAAAATGATGGATTATATGGTGATAAGTGAGAAATACTGTTTATAAGACACATCGTGTCCATGGTACGTGTATGTAGTTAGTCAATACTTATAGAAAGCTTGGTTTCCTCCATTTCCCATTCCATCCGGTCATAGTTCTTTTACCTTTCCAATTGAATAGAGTTTCCTCTCATTTTTTTTCACGATATGATATTTTCAACAGTGAGTGCGGATTTGGTTCACAGTGAAAAGGACAAGATGCAGGGTCAAGGGACCAGTTAGGATGCCCACCAAGGTTCTTCATATCACCACACGGAAATCCCCTTGTGGTGAAGGTATTTATTGTTGATAATAATGTAGGGAAATCTGAATATGTTAATGAACTCCAAGGCACGAAATGAAACGTTATCTTTTAAGAGATGTTTCTCCCTTATTCAACAAAGTCACAACGGGGTATAATAGAAAATCTCTCTCAGGATACAATGAAGGTGTTTGATTCAAATTGTGACTATTTGATCAAACCAAGAAAACACTCGAATATAACTGATTGATGCCAAGAGAAAGAAGGAAAAATAAATTGTTTTATATATTTGAGAATTCGCCCAGAATTTATAGACACTGAGGCAACTGTTTGAATATGTGTAT